GATTAGGTAAAGGAGGAGAGGGTGGGTGCCTTAAGATTAGTGGGCGACCATGTACCATTTGTTAGGGCGGGCAGATGGAGATCCACATAAGACCATTAATTTAATTTATTACATCTCATGCAGCTCCAAATCAAAGAGTTAATGCATGCCGGTCCCTTATGTTTTCATGAAACGTTAAAAACTTCACTTGCCAATATTCTTATTGGACAAACTAACATTATCGGTCGATCGCCCGCCATTGGTGACTCCATTGCTGGTGCCCGCCCGCCATGGGACACCTACTAGCTAGAGCAATATTGTCGATTGTTGCATTCTACTGCACCTGAGTTCAAGTATTAGTGTGCTCGTCTATCATCTTCGCGGTGCCTTACATACCTATTGAATTTGCAGGATATTCAGTGAGTTGTGGGAATTAATTGAGGTACGCGCAAACCGGCTCGAACACCCTACATAAATTAAAAAAAAAATATTGTCGATTGTTGCATGTTGCAGTAAATTGTTTTACTCTCTTTTTTATTATAGAAGATATAAAGATATATGATGAAAACACAATAGATATGTTTTTATATGCTTTTTTTTAAAAGAAATATACAACAACTCATTTTATATATAACATCTATAGATAATATATTAATTTAATTTATACTTATATATATATATATATATATATTTGTTTTTTCAATCAAGGAACATGTACAAACTTGAAGATCGATTTGTCCTGTCAATCTATCATGCAAATAGATTAATTAAGCAGGCTAAAGTTCAAAAATCTTAATTAATGCATCGAGAGAGAGAGAGAGAGAGAGAGAGAGAGTTTTGTTAAGAAATCGTAATTAATCTGGAAACTGTTGATTTAGAGAGCTGGCTAGCCCTAATTAGCTTCATCTCTTTGGTGTTTTAAGATCCTACTGCAAATTAAAGCTCTCCTACATAACATACTCGCATCCACGAACTTATACTCTCTTGCCTTAATTTGGGGTATTTAGAGCGTGGTATACACCGTTGCTATTATTATTTTTCTAGAATTTTTTTATTTGAAAAAATCATTGAAATAATAGTTTTAAAATTTTATTTTTGATAACAATATATCAAAACAATAAAAATATATATAAAACAATAATTCTAAACAGCATATATATATATATATATATATATATATGGGCATGAGTGCAGCAACCAACATGTATATAATGCTGTATAAGCATGCTGTGTCTCATATTGGAGGACAACGTATTAATCGCATTGTGTTCGATGGCATGTACAGCATCGAACGACTTGAAGATTCATAAAAGCAAGCAAGCATGCTCGTCTCCACGAAAAGCCCGCCCGAATGCGCACGCACTCACGGGTTAACCACTGGTAATGTACCTAATATAATATTTAAATAATTTCCTTAATATATCTATTAAATATTCGAAATTGTGCTGTCCGTAATTCTTGAACATTAATCTCGTAAGTAAATTACCACAAAAGATTCATGCTCTCTCTCTCCCTCTCTCTCTCTCTGAGAATCCATCAAAGAGAGATGCATGTTGCTTATTAAAAAAAAAAAAAGATGGATTCAATTCTCTTTATTTTTCATACCTTCATGAATATAGGTTAGTAATTTTATGACAAATAGGGGCCGGGTGGATTGGGGGGGGGGGGTGGGGGGGTTTTCCTGCGCCC